GTGTCAGGAATATTACTCAGACTACATATATCATTCTCAGTTTTGTCACCTGCAGTACTAAATGCAAGGGAAACACTGGAGGAGAGGATTTAGCATGGTGTATGTATATTAAATGTTTCTTACAACATATGGTGTAAATTGGTGACCCAAAATACTTTAAAAAGGTAATACCAGCTGAATGCTGAAAGTTCAATTTAAGTAGCAGGGGAGAAAGAGCCAGGTGTCAGGTGAAACTAAATATCCTAAGCAGGAAAGGAAAGCAAAAGCAGAGGCATTTGCATAACAAGCAAGACGATTTTCAAAATTTCATTTGTGTTCTTGCTGACACATAGTGGGGTTATACAGAGATATCTCTGAACTGAGTGCTAGGAAGAAACTGAAGGGAGAGTACTAGAATCTATTTTGAAAGTGTATTTGTATCAGAGGGGTTCCTAAGAAAACAACTTTAGAAAAGAAGTCAAGGAGGGAAGTTAGTGCCGAGACTGCTATCGAGGGTGGAGTGGGAAGGTATGTGCTGGAAACATGCCCTTAGCTCACTCTGCTGGAAGAGAAGCCCTGGGATGGAACCCCATGCTGTATTTAGAAGAATAACAACATGTACCTATACCTGCTTGAGGTACCTGTTGAGGCCTTCAACACTTGAAAAGTAAGTCAGATGGGGTGATATACCGTGAAGTGTCCAGTATGCCAAAACAAAACTGAGAGCCACTCTGAAACAAACTCTTTTATTGTATTTGATGTTATTTGATATTATGTGTTATTGTGCCATCATTGGAAGTGTTCAAAGCCCCATCAGGTCAGATGGGGCTTGGAGCAACCTGACCTGTTGAAAGATGTCCCTGCCCATGGCAAGGGGGTTGGACTAGATGATCTTTAAAAGTCTCTTCCAACCCAAACCATTCTATGAGTGTATTTTTATTTTCAAAATAGGACACAGACTTGGAATCATCCTACCTAATTTTAGGCTTGTAACTGCAGTATCCGTATTATAATTCTTGTTTTGTTGTTCCTTCTGTCTTCAATGGAAAGAAGGGCAGGGAGTAATTCAATCTTTATATTATTTGAGTCACATTTTAGAGTTGCTTATCTTTCTACTGTTTGGAGCAGGGGGGAATGCAGGGATCTCTCTACTGACTATTGAAAGTATAATCACCTCCTGTCCTCAAATGCCAAAGTGAAATGAATTCAAACCAAAAAATGCATGGAGCTGATGCCCAGCATAGGTTTCTTTGCAAAGAGAAAATGATATTTTAGAGGAGAAAAGATTGAAAGGAAACAAGGGATGAACATTTTGAAGCCTGGGGGCATTCTTGTCTGTATTTTAAGCTGAACCTTTTAGGTAAAGCCATATTTAGCACATCTTGAGTGCTTGGAAAAGTGAGCTAGCAATAGGACTAGTTAGACTGAAGCCATTTTGAAAAGTCAACGCTTCGTTTGTGTTTCTGAATTTTTGTAACATCTTTCTGCCTGACCTGTGTTTTGTTTGGACAGTATCCAATTCCTGTAGTGTGTGAGGCCGAATGGCTTTTATTAAACAAATATGAAAAAACAGAACTGGACTCAAACAACCTGAATGAAAAGATTGCAGTAGCAGTATAGAGCCAACTTATTGCCCTCATGGTGGAAGAATGGATTTCTAATTGTTCGTGAAAGCTAATGGAAACCGTATTTTGGCTGTGAGTAATTCTCAGGAGGGATCATTGTGAAGTCTTATGTCATCTCTTGTACTTTACTGATAGAACATAGCACGTATTCAAAAGCAGACACACCTGGTGAAGCTCAAGGTGCAGAAAACCACTGATCAGGTTTAGATATTAGAGAAAGATGGGACCCTTCAGGGGTGAGTGAGCTTTACTGTCACATTGCTGACCTGTCAGAGGCCAATGTCAGTTGTGGGAGGAGTGGATAACTGGCAGAGCTTAAAGGTTATGATGACAGAATCCAGGAGCCAACTAATTAAGATTTTCTTGCCCAGAAGACATCATGATAGCGCACTAAACTGTGGTGTTACCTGTAATTAAAAATCAGAAATGCCACTTTTTGCATTTTGTCTGCGGAATCTGTCCTAATATTATACCATTTCAGTCCCCAAGATCTTTATTCCAGACTTTAGTAATAACAACCAAATCAGTTATCTTAAATGTTAAATTTGATACACCTTGCATCTTTTTTGATGTTTATTAGCCCTTCTTGTACTGGATGGGGCACTGCCAGCACAATACAAAACAACAGGATTTCCAATTGCCATATTTGACACTGGTATCACCCATTTATCCGTCTTGGGAATGGCCTTTGTCTCCTTTTCTTTCCAGGAACCCCTGAATAGGTAGTCATTAGCCTATGATTAATTAAGGAAGTGACCAAGCTGAGCCTTGTGCAGGTAGTTGACAAGCTATGTTGTGTTAGCTGCAATGGAAAGTCATCACAGCTGGTATAGTGGTGTTTACAGAGCTTGGAGTCCAGCAACCTTTTCTTGGTTGGTTAGGTTTTTTTATAACGTTAATAACAGGATCAGGGTAAGCAGCACCATACATGGATCCTGCAGCTCATTGAAATCACAAAAAGTATGGCATATTGATAATGAACGTCAAAAGGGGATTTTTGTAACTTTTATGGGTATTTTGCACTAGGGAGTTATTTACTGTGATCAGCATTTGTTCTGGAGTAGTTTGTCGTAAATCTGTATACTCTAATACTTTGGGGAAAGGGCTTTGCTTGTTGAAAGTGTTGCCAAAGTGATTTTGAATAAAGTCACAAATGAACTACATGGAACCCATTTCAGATGTAAGGAAAGTTGTCAGTATAAATAAGCAGGAAAGGGATCCTGACATAAGTTCTTCAAACATTTATGCCTATTAAGCCCTATTGTATATCTTAGAATTAGTTTTAATAATTTACATCATCAGGTCATGAGATAGTAACCCTGCTAAGTACTTCCTTAACTCAGTTAGATTTTTCCCTTGGAGGCTAGAAAAACTTTCTGAAGTGTCACCAGAGCCTTTCTTAGGGGCTCCTATAACACCTATTGGCCATGACTCACTGTGTTTCTGCAGGTCCTTAAAAAAGTAGTGTCATAAAACTTGCCTGCTGATTTCAGCTAAGCAGGTGGTGAGCTATATTGTGTGCTCTATTAGGCTACACAAAACCAGGCTCATATTACTGTCACCTCCTCCCCATCCCCATCCCACCTGTTTGGCTCATCTGCCTCATTCTGCTGAGTCTTATGACTTGTCATTAGTCTGCCTTGTAAATTCTTTGTGACAGAAACTTTTTCATTAGATATGTATGTATGTATATATAGTACTTACCGTGATAGAGCCTGAATCCCTGACTGAAGAGTATGGGCACAATTCCAATACAGATAATAATGCTAATATTATATTGCAAGGTTCTTTCTCACGTTTCCTGTAGACAAGAAGCTCTGCCACAGGAACAGCTCCCCCTTGTTTTACAAGATGTTACTTTTGACAAAAGATAGTTAGATTCAAAAAAACCTATATAGCATAGATTTCACCCAAATCTTTCAGCAGTGAACAGAAAAACCCCCAATACTGTGAGGTGCTCAGGTATGACTTTGTACTGTGATTTTGTGCCGTGAGTAGAGCAATGTTGTAGAGGCCCATCCCTCAAGAATAAGACACGTTTTTGTTACCGAATTCCTTAGTTTTTGTCACATAGAGGAATCATACTTTTTGTACTTAAAATATTAAAAATTTTCCGTGACCTCTGCTACTGTAAATCAGCATAGCTCTTGTTACTGTTAGAGAGGTATGCTAATTTATATCTGCGTAGTTATAGACCAAGATGGAATTTTGTTTTACTGAAAATACGGATTACAATAGTACATATCCTATTATGGTGGGCGTTTTATAGGTACATAGTGAGGAGATTTTCCCCACTAGATGAAGAGCTAGTCTATACAAATATACAGCCCAGGCATGCAACAGCTGTGGTTGTTCTATTCTGAAATAAATTTGGTCCAAGGACTTAAATTACTTAAGAAAAAGGAAAAAAATATTCCAAATAATGAGTAAGTATCACAACAGGTGCTAAAATAATGCCATACACCTACTTCATTATTCAGCTTCTTATTTGTTATCTTTATTCTTAAGAGTAATGATGTAAAAGTGCTTTTTTCCAAATGTTAATTTAGTTCTCTGCAGATGGTAACCATCTGTCAAATGACAAGTCATTTACAGTATTTGATTAGCACTTTATATAGCTTGGATGGACTTATTGTTTCAATATCTAAGTATAGTTATGGAGGTGAAACTTGTTAGATTTGTTCTTTTCCTGTTACTGTTACCAAAAAAAAATGAAAAATTTCAAACCTATCAATATTTTTGCCCATCCTCTCCTATGTTTTTACATGTTATTTCAAGTTAGAACCTGACATTCATAGGCCAGTTCACAAGATACTCTTGAGAGAATGACAATAGTAGGAAATACTGTTAAATTCCAACACCACTTGTAGCAATTACGAGCATCCTCATTCTACACTGTCACTGTGTGGATGGACTCTTATGGATGCTCAAGGAGAGCACTGGAAGTTTGAATGAATCTAAGAATCATGGCTTATCAAGTAGAAAACTCCCTCGGGGCTGTGATACTGCTTTGTATACTTATAGCAGCTTACACTGTGGGTCTTTTTTTTTAAACTAGAAAAAAACCTAATATTGCAATAGACCTTAATATTGCCATCGTAAAGGGATCTTCTTGCATGAACTGCACACTTTCGTATTTTAGTGCAAACAACAACTATGAATTTAATACCAATGACAGTGACATATCAATGATAACTAACCCCCATCTGTCTGTAAACCAAGCAAGTTCTGATTCATTTCATACTGTGTTTTCTTCTAAAGTTTCTTCAAGGTATGCTGCTAAACCTTCATTTGTTGGCCCTGTTTTCATTGTTGTAAAATTACTTTACATTTTTATTTCTGTGCTTTTAATAAAATTCATTAGGTATTTTGATTTATGTTTATGTTCAACAGCTAAAAGGCTGGATAATGGCCCCACTACCAAATGCTGAATTAGTTAAGAACTCTTTGCAGTTGTATCGTTACCTGCTTCGATGCTGTAAGCAACTTCCTGAAGAGAATATTCGTCAGCATTACAGACATGCGGTCAGGCAGGTGAGAAACAGATTTCTTTTCTGTTGGTGGAATTCAGTGTTGTGGGGTTCTTTTGTTTTTGTTTTTCTCCTCCTGCAGTTTGGAACAACTTTTTGTAACTCCTAGCTCTTAAGAAATTATTCTTCTGCAAGCTTGAAATACTAGTGGATTTGAAGGATTGTACTGGGACTATGTGAAGGAGCATTTCTTTTTGTTTGCCTTGAATCTGAAACCTTCTGTTTTCCTTGACTTTCATCTCTAATTCTTCTGTTAGTCAAGAGAGTGAACAATCATTCCTTACTACCTAAACATCTTTTATGGTGAAACTTACTGGCTCCTTGTCGGTCATATCCTACCCCCAACCCCCCTGGCTGGGTAAATCTCATCTAATTGTTCATATGGAAGTAATTTAATGCCTTTGATCATACCTGTTGTCCTGTGTCTTTCTAGTTGTAACGTATCAGACAATTTCAGTTGTTGTTCTGAATTGAAGTTCTCTGGGTTTTTTTACTGATGATGTATGAAAGGAGTAAAATACTTAATATGAAATTACATTTCACAAGACTTGTTATGGAAATAGCACAGCGAGGTGCTACACTGTGTGTTTTTACCTTTTCAGATCAACAGTTTGTTTGCATCAAATATTTTCTTTGAGATTTAAAAGTGATCCTTATTTTGACAACTGTTGAGTTAAGTTGGCTAGTCAGTGTAACACTTTGAATGTTGCAGAGTTTCAAAGTTCATGCCGATGAAGACAACCCTGAGCGAATCCAGCAGATTATTAAGAGAGCCATTGAAGATGCTGACTGGGTCATGAATAAAGTAAGTACATCAGATTGTCTAAGTGTTGCTCTGTCTTAGTTCAGGTCAAAGAAGAAAACATCAGAAAGCGAGTTAGGAACAGCAAACCGTTCCATTGTCCTGGACATTGAAGTGTCTGGATGAGAGGAAATACCTAGCCACTAGGCATTTATGATTGTGATAGTTCTTGTTTAAAAATTCTTTTTTGTCGATATAAACTTAAGTATATTTTTTAGAACCAATGATGCTTTAAGTTGGTTTCTGTATAAATCTTTGTTTCCATGAAGAATTCTATTATGTTTCAGCAGTGGTAGCTAGTATAACTCTATAATAGAGGGTGGGGGGGAACCAAACAAACTCGCAATATTTTGCAAGCCACAGTTTGTTGATATGCATCAGCTGCTTTCCTAACAGGAATCTATCTTCTCTTAGTCAGTTTACATAAACTCCCAGAACAATTTATTTATTTTTTCTCAGATCTTGCCTGTGGCTACATGGATCAGGGTTAGACAATATAGCAGCAAAACTATGGTAATGGTGAACTTGTGCCCTAGTTATTACCCATCAGATAAGTCTCTTTACTGTCACAGCACCAAAAAGATACCACTCAGACTGGTTTCTTAGATAAAAGTATGAAGGCTGTTTACTGTTAGACAGCTGAGAGTCACCTGTGCTTCCTTGGATTTAAATCTGGTGGGGAGCACGATATGTTAACATGGTTTTCTCAGAGTATAATGAAACAAGTCAAAAGTTCAGCTTGCTCTAAATATCTGTGATTTAATTTACTAAATGACTGTTAAGTCCTTCTCTCTGTCAGTCCATGAAATCCAGATGAGAATTGTTACAGGAGCAAGCACAGATTAGTCATAGATTATAAAATTATGGCACTAGCCAAATCTCAAGCAGTTACAGCCTAGTAAATAGCTGTCTATGCCTGAATCTGATTTTATTCTCCCTACAATTATGAAAAGCCTCATTCTGATTCTGCCTCAGAGATTGTAGTCTGCTTCATTGGAAAACTGGTAATTGAACTGTGTGAGAGGAGGATCGGATTCACAGTGCCTGCCAAGAAGCATTATGTTATATTGTAGAGCGAAAGCCTATCAAATTTCAATCTAACTTAAAGGAAACTGAGATAATTTTATATAGATCATGAAGAGGGTTGTAAATCCTTGTCAGTATGAACTTTTAGTTATGTGCTCTTTCCCACAAATAATTTTTTTCTTTTTTTTTTTTAGTATAAAAACCAGAAGTAGAAGATGAATGATGAAGACAAGAATGTCATTGGTAAACATCCTTAGAGGACTTGCAGTCAAGCCTAGTACTGTATTATAGTTATTGCCTGGAGTTTTCTCTTAAATAATACAAATACAATAATTTATATCTCATTGGGATGCTATTAAGCTGTTTGAGTCTGTAGATTAAAAGGCACAGTCTAGGTTCAAAGTAGTAGCTCGTATAATCACAAACTATAGCTTAAAGTCCAAACACAAAGAGCTTCTCAGGAAAACTAACTGAGAATGAAAATGTAATGGAGTACAAATCATTAACAAATAATAAATAGTGCCCTGTCATTCATATCTGATGAATTACAGTGTCTCATCTGAAAGAACTTAACCAGTATTTGATCATAAAGGTCTATACTGGGAGCCAGCAAACCTGAGAAATACTCATTGAGGATCAGAGCAAGTTTCTCTCTACTTGATTGTGGACCAGATTGTACTATTAGGCCTAGATCCACTGTAGCATGGCAGTGTTTGATACACTTACTGTGTAGGTTATTTGGTGGCAAGGTTCTGCATAAGTAACAGTGGATTTAAGATTGTGTTTGCATGACGTTCTGAATTACGGCTGTCAGTCTGTTAGGTCAGATCATCCTCTGTCAGGACCACAGATATGTTTTCAGAGTGAAGCAGAGGTATGACCAGAGCACAGGTCTGGTTTTAATCTAGTAGCAGACACAAAAGCATACGCTACTGAGTGGAGAACATACCCACAAGAACTTCAAGCCTGTATGAAACTTGAACCAGTGTTTTCCCCTTGCCTGTCCGTGCTACGGATGTATCTTCATTCTACTCCGTAGGTTTGCACTTGAACTAATGGTTGTCTTATTTAAAGACAGGTGCTTGTCACCCTAATCCCTAAACTCTCCTGAAAACAGACACCATTCAGATGGGTTTTGCGCACTGAATGGTATAATCGCTGAAATGTGCAATGTGGTACAGATATAAAGGCCTTTGCAACTTTTTGCAACATATAATAAATGTCCTTTAAAAATGGGAGTCCATGTCCTTTTTTAAAAGACCGTCTTTTCACTGCCCTTATGGATTTTCATCAGGGAAAACTCAGTAGAAATCCTAGCTATATTAAATAAAATTAATTTAGGGGTAAAAGAGTTTGCTTTTTGAAATGTGACCTTTGCTTTTAGCTGTACTTGGAACTTTCTGTCTCCAGGTGGCAGTGCATGCCGCGATGAGCGTCCGCAGTATTTGGGGGACAGGTTTGTTTCTACTGCTTCCAAATTGCTGAACTTCCTCACCTGCCAAAATAGAACTCAAGTGCTAAAGCAGATCTCTTTTAGGCTCCAGATTTTCTTTTTTTCATTCAGCCATGAATGAAAATCATAACTCAAAGTAGTCAAGAAGAATTTGACAGGCACTATAAAAGAAATGAGGGCTGTTAAGTGAGTGTTTATAGTATAAAGTATCGTATCAAAATATTTCCTTTGTCTCTGCTAACCCTAAACTCTCCTGGTCAAGAATTCCTGCCCTCTGTTATTCTTTCCTCTGCCACTGTTGTTCCTCTCTCTACTCCTACATCTTTCACATCATCTTACACAACCTCAACTTTTGTTGTTCTTGTTCTACATATTCCTTAATTCTGTTCTCTCTCATCTTGTCTCTCTACTCCACTTCTTTCTCCTCCTCAAATCTTTTTCTGACAGGTACATCAGAAGATACTCTAGTATTATGCTGAGGCCATCCTTCTGCTTAATTTCAGATAAAGCATGAAGGTAATAGTTCCTCAACAAAGTAGATGTAAGTTTTTCTTCATGTGAGGAAAGCCATTTGTCTTTCCACTTAAATACATTTTTTTTTTTTTGAGAGTGCAACCATTCTGGTTTAAACTTTCAAAATAACTTGATATAAAGTAGAGAACAGAAGACTTCGACCTTGGCAGTTGACAACCAACATCCAGTATGAAACTGAAAAAAAGGCTGAAGCAGATTTTATAGTAGGTATCTGAATGTGCTACTTTTAATCAAGAACAGCAAACATATGACCCATGTGGTACTCCAATTCTATTATATATATTTGGTCTGTAGGACAGAGATGCACTGAACTTTATATCAATGCAACAGTGAAAACTGTAAGACTCAGTAGCATTAACAGTGTATGGAAAAATAACTAGTTCCTGAACTTTAAATGTAGTGTGCTCAGCAACCCTCTATTGCTTTTATTATCTGGCTTTTTGTAATGGGAGACATATTTTGTTCAGTTACTAAACAGGATAATTGCATGTGTCTAAATCATTCTTACATGCCTGTTATTTAATTTATGGATAGTTCAAGAGGGAAAGCACCAAGGAGCTGGAAAGCGCAACCATGGCATGTCTGTAACTCCAAATGTCTGAGGTGCCAGCTGAGATACAGGAACATCAGATCAAAGGTATGATAGATGTAACTGAAATGGTAGGACCAGGATCTGTGAATTTTAGATTTTGGAAACTGGTAGAGCCTGCAGTTCTTAGTAGGGTACAAAGGGTGAACAAGATTGCTGAGGCAGGAGACATCATGAATTAATATTTTGACAGTAATGATTCAGTTGTAGGGCATGATGGGATGTCTGAGTCTTTTTTTTTTTTTTAATACAAATATAATCTTGTTCTCAAAATAACAAACCTTTTAATAGAATGGAAATATAGTGTGAAGATAAAGTTATTTGCTACGGAAAAAATAATTTTCTCGATGGTGGGGAGACATGATGCAAACAACTATTTACTTCCTTCTAATAGCGAAAGTAACCCCAATGTCTAAGATGGAGATGTGTCTCTAATAACTGGGCTGAAGAGTCATTCAGCTGCATAGCTGAGGCTTTTATGTTTTCAAGACTTTATACAAATTGTATTCTTCAGCAATATATTTTGAGACCAAAGATGTTACATGAGCCTAGGTGTGGATGAGAACCTGAACTCTGAAAAGGGACTTGGGCAGAGCTTCAGTACTTTCGACCAAAATTATTATCCAGAAAACTTCTTCTCAGAAGTCATTTAATCCTGGAGTTGCCCTAATTTACCACTCAGTAACCTGTTTGACCTGAGAGTTTATAAGGTAAATTGAGTTCTCTTCACCAGTATCCAGGGTCACCTTTGTTTGAGCAACTCTCTGCCACCCAGCTTTGCTGAGACTGAAGAACTGTTCTCTGTCCCACCAATGTCTTCATTTGGTGTTAATGCCACTGTGCTAATGGTTAACTACCAGTGGCTCTACCAGGGACCACTGAGGGAAAGCCCTACACAGTCGCAGGCATAACTTTATTCCTGCTACTCACAGAGGAACCCTTCATTGGTCAGTCTCCTCCATGGTTCTTTGATGGCAGGTGCAAATAAAATATCAACACCAAATAGATTGGTGCATCTGTGTTTCCATATTCAGTCATCCAGAATCTCCGAAAATAAAGATGTTGGGTGCAAATTAAGTAATAGGGAGTAAAAGAGACTGTGTTGTATACTCTCGTTACTACTGCAAAGTTTAAAAGAAAAAACCTCACAGTGCTCATTAAACTGTTGACACAACAAAGGATAATGTCAGTAAAAAGGGACAAGCCTATTCTAGTCATAGGGCTTAGTTTCTTTTTACTGAAATGAGGAACCCATTTCTGTACTTGTGTATCATGCTAGTTCTGGTAAGTAATGGACTGTTGGTACACATATGCAATAATCCAATGATTAAAGGCCCATCAGAAGGTCATGTCAAAGCCCCAGTTTTTGCTGGCCCCACTGATAAGCACTCCTATAGTAAACATTCGGTTACCAGTATTACTTTCAGTGTGGAATAGTACCACCCAGCTATTCATTAGCCTGAGGGTTTTTATTGTATTTACACAAATGTAATAACTATATTCTGCAAGCAACAGTTTTGCAGCTGGTTACTGTAAGACCTTGAGTCAATAACTTCTAAGACTCTACCATTAGAGGTGTTGAGTGGAATTAACCATTCAAAGGTTGTGTACAGACAATTCTGTCAGTTAAGCTGGAGAGAGGGTTTCACAGGAGGCTTGTTGTGTAAGACAAACTTTAGAACAAGGAAAAGACAGTTGGGAGACTTCTGTTTAATAGGTTTGGATCATGCTTTTAATTCTTGAAGTATGGAGAAACAGATTATTTAGATCATATTTCAGTTAAGCAGAATGAGAAAAAATTTATTAGTTATTAGCTCCAGGTTATAGACTTACCAACATTCAGTCTAAGGACAGAACCAAATTTGGTGCTATAAT